ATGCATTGGTTGACCTCAATTTTTCTTCTCTCCTACATTGCATTGTTGATAGGTCCTTCACGGTGAAAGATGAACAATGGTGAATATTCCTTCTTGAGAGAAAAAAAATCTTGAGAGAAATTGATGTACCCGGGAGGAAAGAGGCAGGGGAGCCAATGTATATTCGATACCACGTTGGATTTGTGTTGTAGAAGTTGGGGGAGGGGAGAGACACTACAATTTTTCTCTTATAGAGTGTTTCGGATACAGTGTTCTATAAGTGGGGGAGGTCATTGTATGTGAAGGATCTTAGGATGACCGAAATAGTCTCTCTCTCTCTCTCTCTCTCTCTCTCTCTCTCTCTCTCGATGGCTGGCTTTAGTTTTGTATAGATTAGATTTTTTTTAGATTTCCCACGAGGGGGTTAGTTTATTGGGCACCCCCTTACATCCTGTGCAAGGCGAAGCGCAGAAGCGTTTACAGTGCCTATCGGGGAAGCATTGAAGTATGCGGAGTTCATGCTTGCCTTTATGACTCATGCATTAAGGGCGTAAAAGCCTGAAGGGTCATGAGTTTTGTCAGCAAGTTACATAAAGTGACAGAATGATGAGTGTGTGGGGGGAAAATTCCCGGTACAATTTATCTGTTTATGGCAAAGTGTGGCAGGTCCCTAATAATGTCAAGTGCCAGACCTGTCACTAGGAGGAGGGATATCTGGTCAGGGAGGGAAGAGGTGTTGGTAACAGCTGGGGACCTGTAGGAGGAAGTCATAGGGCAAATGAGGATGGAGTGAGAGAGGGTGTGAGTCTGTTGACCACAAAGTTTACAAACAGTGTGGCCAGGCTCAGGGTTGCCAATGTACTAGGCGTGGTGAAGTACAGTGAGGGTGCAGGTGATATGGCGTGGTGGAACAGGTACAGTAGGGGTGGAGGGAGGCACATAGGCATTGACAATATTGAGGGACAGGCCTTTTATTGTGATTGTGATGGCGCGTGCGTCGACATGCTGGTGGGGTACGGGTAGCCGGGGGTGGTGTCCTCAGGTCCATTAGGTAGCCCTGGTGGAGACAGCACAGACACAGTAGCGGGCGCGGCTTGTGGTGGGTGGAGGACAGGTTGAGGCACCATGTGTCGTGAAGATGAGGCAGGACTTCGCTTGGGGGCAGCAGGACACACCAGGGCAGGCCCAGTAGGCACTACACCAGTAGTGAAGGCCGCCGGCAATGGAGTAGGCCGTGAGCAGGGGGGGGGGCTCACTGGGGGACTACCAGCTTGTGTCAAACCAGAAGAGAGGAGTGACTGGGTGGCAACAGAGGGCAGGAGTAGGTCGGAGGTGGTGGTACAGAGTGTAGCGAAGAGTTTTTCATTACGGTTGGTTAATTCTTGGAAGAGGGATATGATCTGTGTCATGTCACTGGAGGGGGGTTGTGGGAGCACAAGGCCTGACAGCGTCAGAGTACAGACGGGGAGGAGGCCCAGTAGTAGTTGAGTTAGGAGACGGCCAGGACTGCTGTGTTGCAGCCAGGTGAAGCCAGGCAGGTGTTGTTGAAGAAGGCGTTGCTGGAGACAGAGGGGTGTGGCCCGGAAGACTGGTGGGGGGACGTTGTGGTAGACGCGGCCTTCGGGGAGGCTTTTCCCCTGGGACAGACGGGCGATTGGGGCATTGCCATGAGTCAGCATTGTGCCGGCCGCCACAGTTACAGAACTACATAGCCCACACCACCCTATTAAGGTGGTCTTTGATTTTCTGGGCATAGGCTGCTGAGTTATGGTTATGTGAACAGAAGCGACATCTGGGACAATCACGTCGGCAGCAGGCAGTGAAGGTGTGACCCCAATGAGAACAGAAAACACAAAATGCAGGCCCAGGATTATAGGCTTCTGCATACAGTGGGGGGAGGAATGGGTGGGCACTCCTTTCCCTTTTACTTGACAATGACAGCCGCTTGTGGAGTTTTCCCCTGGTAATGTCGACATATACTCAGTATACTAGAATTAAAGTCACGCGCATCTTCGATGTCAGCGTATAGGGGGAAACGTTTCACTAGGATGTGGCAACATTCATCAGTGTCTACTGGGGGGAGGGGGGGGGGCACCAGGACAACCCTGTCTAAGCCAACAGTACTGAGTGTTTCATAGACCTCAGGAGGCTGACACTTGATAAAGTTCCGGTTCTTTCCTTGTCGGAATTGAATGTTGAGACCGTGCTGTCTGCAGTACTTCATCATCCAATTAAAGCGTTTCTCTACAGTTTTCAGAGAGTCCTTAGGGAAGTGTAGATAAGCTTATGGTTGGCAGAGGGCAGGGTGATAGGGTCCGTGGCATTAGTGTTTCCACTCCGGCTAGTGTTTCCCATAGAAACATTACCGTCACTGTCATAATCACTGGGGTCTGACTCTTGAAGGGTGTTGGATTCAGTATGACCAGGTGAGTTGGCGATGGCATCCGTATCAGAGATGTCTGCGTCCATGAGAGAGCCTCTTCTGGGGCGTTTATGTCGACCCCCCATGCTGGCAAAAACTTGCCGGCTGAGGGGACCTTTGTGGGAAGATCGGAAAGTCAAGAGCACCTATGGGCACGTCTGTCCCCTTATGTGGTCACGCCACGACTGTTAGTTATGTATATACGTCCTTGTTGTGGTGGAGGCGGCCTCTCCCGTTGACCTTCCCAGCAATACATAATGCACGCTATAATGACTCACCCTGCCCCTGCTGTGGAGGCTGCTCATGTCCACGTACACTTACCTCCCTCCTTTCTACTGGCACCCACATGCTGTAGTCACCTCCCTTTTCTTTCTACCGGGACCCACATACAGTCACCTTCCTGCACCGTGGTACTGATCCTCACGTAAACATAACTACTACTGCTGGGGCATTTAGGTGAATGACATGTGGTTAGGTCAGGTCCTGCGGGTCACATAACCCCCCCCAACCATGTGCATTGTTACTATTGCAAGTGCCATGTTGTTCTAGATCACTCATACCTGTGCTTGTCTTACAGGTTATTCCTTCCAGTGAAAGTTCTGTCTCGACATCGGCCGTTCTTTAACATTCTGGCCTCCCTCCACCCCTCCCAAATAAATTATACTTCCGTTACCTTGTTAGCATAAAAGGACAATATCTTTTTTTTTTATATCGTTCGGCATTCTAATAGTTTCACCGCCTTTCATAGTTTGTTTCAAATGGTTCCGTAGTTCTATATGCCCCACTGTTGCTGCCATAACCCCGCCAGACTACATGACTCAAAATATTAATGGAGGAAGTGATTCCGTTTACCTTTAGCAAGCAGATACCTTTTTAATTTTAAGATTTTACAGAGGCACAAGTTACTCTTTAAAATTTGTCTTGGGCTTACAGATGGGTTGAAGTTGTATGTACTGGAAAGATACCATGGGTAGAATAATAACAAACAAATTAGATTAATGAATGGAGAGGTGATGCTGTGTCTGACCTTGAGCACTTCTGATTGGTGTAGCTGTCGCCCAGTGAGGACCACATTCTCACAGCATAGGGGTGTGTTGAAAGTACCGTGAGATTAGTGATATAATAGCCAATGGGGAAGAGTACTGGAAGGGATGTCCACCTCTCGTATTGGAGAAGTCTGAGGCCTAATGTATTTTAAGGGTTCCCGGTACTTGAGGCCCATAGTTCAGTTTTTTTATTTAACTTTTGCTCTCATTTAATTTACACGGTAAACAACAAACTACGTTGTGAAATACGCCTTGTTCCGGGTCCTCGTGAAACTCCGAACACTCCGCCTGTGTGGTGCAACTGAGGAACAAACATTGGTGATCTCGGTAGAGACTACATTAACATTATCCTAGAGATCGTGTGTTTACATGTACTCCTAAATATTATGGTCATCCCAGCCCCGAACTCTTATAAGATATGATAGGGCCCCTCAAGAACACGGGAATAAGAAAGGGTGAGGTGATTTGTTTTAAAAATTTTCGCTGCAGGGATCGTGTGCCTGGAGATGTGCCAGGTCCAGCTGATACATAGACACTGTAGGAGGGAAATCGTTTATATGTCACCTTGGTGCAGTTTCTGGAACAGTGTAATAATTTTAGCATGGTTGTGGTAATCTGAAAATAGCTTACTTAGCTCCACGTGTCACACCTCCGAGGCCATACAGGAAGATGAACCTTGATCCTCTCATTCTGTGACCCGCTTTCACAACGTGGGAAGTGAGGTTCCCTTGGCTGCTTTATAAAGGCGCGTATTGCATCAAATGTGTTAATTTCTTAAGACTGGTTTACTTGCCCTAGCGACCGTAGCATATTTTTGGTGTTAGGTTGGGTTGGTTTATCAGTTAGTTAAGAGTAGGTTTGGTTTATTTGTTTTAGACCATTAAAGACTGCCGAACTACAGTATGTTTGGAGTAGAGGGCCGAGGTCGCCAAACCTCAAAAGTGAAAATGAATCCTTGATTGATTGATTTTTAGGTTAGGTTTGTTCCGTTCGTTTTGTATCCTAATTCTATACATGGCATCTCGCTCATCACCAACGCTTTGTTGCCATAACCGCCGGATGGATGCGTCCATGGGAAATCGGTGTCACGGGCCGTATAGTTTGGGGGGGCTCTTGTTAATCTACGAGTAGTTTGTGCAGCAGGAGTACATGGCGGCGCTCCCAGTAGTTGGAATGTTTGAGTGAGTCAGCGTGAGAGGTCGATGAACTTTCTATAATACCCGTCACATTCTCCGTGGTAGCCACTATAAGAACACACTCTTTCTTCAGTGTTTAATGTGTATATAATGGTAAAACTTACCTGTGTGACGGTGACGATGTCCACCTTCCCGTCTGCAGTGAGTTATTTCATTTTAAACTGAGTGGCAGTTTAGTGTAGCTATGGTTTAACTCTGATACTTAGTTTATATTAACCTTACTTAAGACTGCACATAGTCATAATAGGTTGCTCTATGTCAAATGAGTGTTATTGCATCTTTTACATGTACTAGTGAGAAGCTACTGTGAGCAAATTGTAGTACAGGAGGTAAACCAGTGTTGAAGACAGGTAAACCATGGCCGCTGGCCGTCTCTGTTCGATGAGTAGCTCCAACTGCGGCAGCAGACCACAATTGCCACAGGTTAGGGAGCGTTTGGAAATGTCTTGGTATTTTATTAAGTTTATTTTTTTGTAGGGGGGGGGTCGGGGAATTCCATATAAACTTTATTTGTTTTTCTGATAATTTGTTATGCACACCATGTTGTAATGTTATTATGATTCATTGACAGTTCTTTAGTCTATTTTAATTAATTAATGTTAACCGAAGCCTGAAAGTCAGTTAGTGTGACATCATCAATCTTAACATTCTCTCCCACATTACAGTAGGGCTACAGTACTGTAGGTGTAAATATGAACCTACTTATGTGAGAAAAGAAGTATGAGCAATAAAAATAGTTTCAATGGTGTTGAAATTAGAAAAAAAATATAAGAAATATATGCAAAGAAAATGAAGCTTAATGAAAATGGAATATGCATTTGATTATTTGGGATTATTTTTGAGAGTTTATATCAGTGTTCAGAGCTTGTCTAGTCTCACCAAGCACTAGTCCAAGTTTTATGGTTCCACATACTGTACTTGTTACCTCAGTATATCACTCAGAAAAAGATACTAAGGATCAAAGAAAACAATGTATTTCAGTTTTAGCTATGTAAGTGCAGCTTAAGTTAGGTTACTTATAATTATATGTGCTGTACAGTTGCCTACAGGAGATCCTTTCCTCCCAGTTGTGCTCATTATATTAATAATGTTGACATGCGGAGACGAGAGTTAAAACTCGCATGACAAGTGTTACCACCACTGACGCCAGATTATAGGGGGAGTGGTAGTTAGGGCAGGTGATCACAGGTGTTGCCTCATCCTGCCGGTGTGCGGTGAGGTAGTGACAATGTGTTATGACAACTCATGACAAGGATTACCTTCTCTGACACCATTTAGACAAGTGATCTGTATGTTGATACAAAATAATTAAATTTCAAGATGTTTATTTTATTTTCCCATAAGAAATTCCGGGCAAGCAAATTCCCCCCATAAATTTGTCAGAGCACGTAGAAAAACTACATTTACATTAGTGATGGATGTCATCCGCGTATGTCAAAATTTTTACGCCCGCATTTTGGGTCAGATGTGGGCAGACCTCCCCGTCTAGATACCTGGAGTTGAACAGTGTAGCTGTAGAACGATGTTTGTTTCTTGATTTACTTACGGTTTAGCAGAAACGTCATCAACACACAACACAGTACATCATTATCCAGAAATGTAATCAATTTATTCAGCACTTTCCAACTATTGTTTATGGTGAAAGTCAACTAAGCTGCATATAAAGAACATTTGGCGACATAATTACCTGCCATTGTTTACGGAATTTACATGTTGAATGTTAACATACTTCTTTGCTTGCTTAGTTTTGTGTCTCATTAAACTAATATTAAGCCCGCTTTGGGTCTTTTAGCCCCCGTTTTCACAAGGCCCAGACATATGAATTACATTTGACTTTTCTGTCATTGCCCTTTTTTAAGTTATCGTAGTAAATTATATCTGTATATTTATCTATGTCAAATTTCACTAAATGATTGGCTACCACATTACTATTTTAATCACAAAGTTAAAAACAAAATATTTGTCACCCGTCATAAGGCTGCCTTGTCTAGCGGCATAGTTCAAGAAACACAAGGAATATTTGTTCCTCTTGAATCCACATTATGTCCTTGTCTTACACTCCTGAATTCAACACCAGTGCATATTAAAACAAATTTATATCAGGAGCTTCCATTACAAGTTTGGGAAGGCGGGACCCACACCCCTCCCCTCCAGACCACCCCTTCTGGAATCCATTCTACCGCACGCTGACTCATCTTCACAAATAGTCATTCATATCTTGCCAGCTACTTATAATAATGAAAATTAAGATTCCTGTATAAGAGTAATAGTATTGTTAGTCATATGACTTTGAACTGACAGTATGTGAGCGGTAGTAGACGGTGGCGTGGTGGCAGGTGCTCCTTCTACCTGTTGCTTCTGACGTTGCTATGACGACGGTGCCCACCTGCTGCCTGCCTCCCCTCCACCACACCCACCGCCTGCCTCCCCTCCACCACACCCACCGCCTGCCTCCCCTCCACCACACCCACCACTCGCTCTCCCGTATCTGTTACTCACCCTTAACTTGATTGATTGAAACATTATATTTAGCCAGAAAAATACAGATACAGAATGGATAATAATAACAATATTAACATGGCTGAGCCAGTTAAGAACCTGAGCTCTCTTTTAGGCACCTGATATATACTATACATTTATCTCAAGGAAGTATTATGTAACATTTAGTATCATCTGGAATAGTACAATAGCATGGTGGTAATAAGTACATCTCATAATGTTACCACGGTTATCACTTCAATATTTATTTATTTTATTATTTATTTTTATTTTTTTATTTTGTTTTTATTTTGTATTTATTTATTTATTTATACATATATATATATATATATATATATATATATATATATATATATATATATATATATGTGTATGTATGTATGTATGTATGTAATGTATGTATGAATGTATGTATGTGTGTGTGTATATATATATATATATATATATATATATATATATATATATATATATATATATATATATTAGAGTGGAATTTAAAAACATAAGTATAATGGGGGAGCACTACAACCTGGGTGTGATCGGTACGTGGTATGGGATTACCGAATTTGTATTGTTTCCATATTTGAATGAATGTCAATCATGAAGTAGTTTGGTAATTAGTCTTCTCTTAGAGAGAGAGAGAGAGAGAGAGAGAGACTCTGGTGTATCATGTAACCAGTCTTGTTGTTTTATTTTTAGTAATACACGTATCTTGACGAAATCTCTTGTCTGCTTCCCGTCGTCCACAACACTCCACTTCACGAGTGCATTTCCCTGGTTCTTGGGTAGTATTTATGACTTGTTTGAGTGGTGGTGTGCCTGAGCGTGCGTGACTGGGTGCGTGTGTGTATTAGGTTATTATGTAGTCTTGTCTTGGAGCTTTATCATGTGCGGAGTGTAAACGCTGACAAGTCAGAGGGGAGCGGATCTCCATCTCAAGGATAGTTAACTTTGCCGCCACTCGCCCCCCCACCCCCCCTCCCTAGTCTTCATCCCATAATTTTCTTCCCATATTTCCCCATTATGTCCTTCCCCTTCATGCATAAATTGAATTAAATATCTCACTGTATTCTCATTGTCACAACTACCACACGAGAGGTATGTCCCCTTCAGAATACATCCCCTCTGAATCACTCCCGGCGTTTGTTGTATCGTAAGAGACATTTCGTAACCCATCTTCGAGCATGTTGAGGTACTCTTTAAACCATGCTAACCTAACCAAACCGAAACTAAACTATATATCCTAACCTAACCGACATTAACCAAACCATGCGTGACACTATTGGAGTACTCGGTTCGTTTGAGTGAGTGTGGTGTTGTATGACTGGCTGACAGTCTAAAACGTTTTTCTCTTTAGGTGAAACAGGGATGGCGTCCATAGACTGGTTGTATTCTAGTGGGTGAAATATCACATACTACTTCCTGGTTAGCAAAATTTTTCGAGGAAGCTGTGTTCTTTGTAGCTACGAGTAATGATAGACTCTTTATTATCTGTAACTGCACTAAGGTTATATACTCCCATTCACTTTAGCTCAGTCATGTGAGTTTTATGAGAGAGAGAGAGAGAGAGAGGACTTAATCAAGAATAAAGATTAAATCTAGACATCGAGTTATCCATCTACCACATAATATCCAACAGTAAACACACATTACCAGCATCAGCTACCAAACATCTTGGCCATAAATTATAAGTCTCTCTCTCTCTCTCTCAGTATAATATTTAAATGTTCCATATGTACTGTAGCTACCTATTGAATCAATGTATTGCATAGGTATACTGTAATGTACAGTCTCTACTAACAGTTGTGTTAATAGGTCTTCTTATATTTCAGATTTATCAACACCTTCGATACTACAGCAACCCAGCAGAGCAGAGATGGATTGTACGAATTTTGCTGTTCGTGCCTATATATGCTTTCGATTCCTGGCTGTCACTCCTATTCTTCAATGACAATTATTACATCTACTTTGACACGATCAGGGACTGCTATGAAGGTAATTGCTTAAGACAGGTTGTCTACCAGGTCCTACAGTCTCTCAATATCATACATTTTTAATATAAGTCATAATTTTGAAAGCAATCTCTTTTATGTGTCATCTCTGAGTATTTGATTAAGTATTTGATCAGTTGATTTTATGAGAACAGTATTAATTAGAATTAACAGAGTTGTTTTCTAATTACGTATGTACATTAACATTTTTGCACTGTTTACAAGGAAGTTTATCTGAACTATGGTTTTCTGCAATGTGCCATACTCAGCAGGGATGTGATTTCTCCTTTTTTTTTTTCCCTACCATTTTAAGTGACCCACTTGAATCGTATAGATCTGTTGAATATTTTTGGGGTGGCGTTGGGATGTTTGACAATAATTGACCCTCTAGAGTCGATGGGATCTGCCGCGCGAGGTCACACTCGACATGTTCATGCATTACATCATATACTGTACTCTATTTCTCACTCTATTTCTCATTGGCTGAGTATTGCTTTTATGCATTCCATTCTTCGATTCTTCAGTATTTTATTGATCAAAGATCAATGACATACAACTCCACTATTAGAAGCATTATAATATTCCTATCCACCATATCTACTTGATCCTGGCTGGGGAGGAGCTAAGCATTTTTCAATATAACTTAAGTTTCTATAAATCATTTTACACATTCTGATGATCACAATTTATTCTATAATCCCACAATTTATTCTATAATCCATGCCGTATTTCATAGTTGTATAGGCAAGTCAGTGGGGTGTGCTTGTGGCCCCGAGGGGGTCAGGGCTGTAAGGCATGTGTGTGTGTGTCCTCCAGGAGGTCAGGGATGTAGAACATGTGTGTCCCCCAGGAAGTCAAGGCTGTAGGGCATGGGTGTGTCCCCCAGGAGGTGAGGGCTGTAGGGCATGTGTGTGTGTGTGTGTCCCAAGAGGTGAGGGCTGTAAGGCATGTGTGTGTGTGTCCCCAGGAGGTGAGGGCTGTAGGGCATGTGTGTGTGTGTGTGTGTGTGTCCCAAGAGGTGAGGGCTGTAAGGCATGTGTGTGTGTGTGTACCCCAGGAGGTGAGGACTGTAGGGCATGTGTGTGTGTCCCCCAGTAGGTGAGGGCTGTAGGGCATGTTGTGTGTCCCTCATGGGGTCAGGGCTGTAGGGCGTGTGTGTATCCCCCAGGTCAGAGCTATAGGGCATGTGTGTGTACCCCAGGAGGTCAGTGCTGTAGGGCATGCATGTGTGTCCCTCAGGAGGTCAGGGCTGTAAGGCATGTGTGTGTGCCCCCCAGGAAGGGGACCCTATGATGTGTAGGAACATAAAACTCTCCAGCAGTAGGTATAGAACAGTGTTTCTCAAACTTTTTCACTTCATTCCCCCCATGAGGAACTCTCAACATCCTTGTGGCCCCCTTCAGTTCTCTCCCAAGCCCCTCACAAATAATGGTGAAAATAAACTGTTTTGGTTCTCTTCCTTTATTAAAATGTTTTCAATCATCAAACAGAATGCATATTTTGTTACAGTTCAATGGGATGGATGACATTGTTTTCTTCACTCAGTCGACTGATTCGAGGTTGAGTCACTGATAAAGCACATCTCATGTCTGGGTCTACTTGTAACCAGTTTCGGCTTTTATTCTCTATTTAAAGAAAGGTGGAGAAACCAGATTCACATAAATAAATAGTAGAAAATGGCAAGAGGACTCAAAGTGCGATCTCACTAACTTTTGGATATGACTTACATTGAGCACCAGAATAAATATATATATATATATATATTTATATATATATATTTATATATATATATATATATATATATATATATATATATATATATATATATATATATATATATATATATATATATTTATATATATATATATATATATACTTATATATGTTTTATCTCAGTCACACTGTATCCATTCCTTATTATTTATTACTTTCACTGTACTGTATCCATTCATCATTATTCATTACTTTTACTGTACTGTATTTCATTGTAGATTTTTTTTTTTTATCTATATCGGACTTACGACCATGTCGGACTTACGACCTGGATTTGGGTCCCTAACCCCGTCGTAAGTCGGGGTCTAGGTGTATGTATATATATATATATATATATATATATATATATATATATATATATATATATATATATATATATATTTTTTTTTTGCCATAACATTTGCATCACATTAATTTTTCTTGCAAAAAGTATTTTTTCATAGGTTTTGATTGAATACAATCAGTAGTCATGCTCTTTTTTGCCGTAATTATAGTGAAATGTACCTTACCCTAACCAACGTAACCTTACCTAACCTAACCTAACTTTACTTAACCTAACCTAACTTTACTTAACCTAACCTAACTTTACTTAACCTAACCTAACTTTACTTAACCTAACCTAACCTACCTTTACCTAATCGTTAATTAATCAGGGCTAACCCGCGGCCGTATTTGATCGATAACGAAAATATAAATGCCAGATTTTCACTGCTTTTATAGTGGACACTGTTGTAGTTTATGCAAAAGTGTTCGAAAATGGATATTTCTAAAATAAACGTAACTTAACATTTGTTGGTATGAAAAACAGACCTGACCAACCTAACCAAACAAACCTTACCAAACTTCCTTCCTGGGGAGCTCTGCCCCCTTCCGGTATATTAAACAGAAAGAATTTACTATTATATGGTGAAATTTGAGGCATTTTCTGAACGTGAATTGATACGGCTGCATCGGCGTTTATGCACCCCGGTCAGTGGAGTGATTTATTGTGATGGCGGGAAACATCGCACGTTGAGGAAGTGATGAACAAATTTCTTTCCGGTCTGAAAGAACAGGGATTCCCTCAGAGTGGACAGTCCCTATTTAAAGGAACAATGCTGTGGTCTTTTAAAAATTTGCAAATTTCGTCCATATAAGACCGGCGACAACTTCCACGCGTCATGTTGACACCGTAACTGCCGCGAGCCCGGGGAAAAGCGCCGCAGCAGAGCGCTGGCTCATTACTGCTGGGAAGAGAAATTAGCGCGAGCCTAGGCGCCTAAATATCTACCAAGCGAAACATTTGCACACGAAATGATTACCATATCAGAACTCACTGATGAAAATAAAGTATAATACAAATAACTCGTTCGCGGGTTAGTTCTATATACTAACTACCTAACCAAATAGATATATGTTGGAGAAATTATTATATAAAGTTTGTTGTCTCTGCAAATGTATTTTTATAAATATATGTTGAAAAGTTTCTAGAGAACTTAATTGTTTGTCATGTGCATTGCGGCTTTCTTAGGTTAGGTGGGGTAACGTTAGGTTAGATAAGGTAAGGTAATATTAAGTCAGGTTAGGTTTAGTCTGTAGCATAAGATACATTTCACTAATTTTGCAGCGAAAAAATCACTAAATGTATCGGATAAAAAGTCTATGAACATAATTCTTTTTCTAAGAAAAAAAAAATGCTATGCCACTTAATTTTTACCCCCGTTTTTATTAGGTTTGATGAACTTAGATTAGGTTAGGTATTATTAACTCTGATTCATGGGTACTTATTAGATACTTGGCAGAATAACTTGTTATAACTTGATCCTATAACAAAGGTGGCGTTTAGGCAAAAATGATCAATTGACCTCATATTTGGATTTAATTGCTGAAGGATATTCACAGCTATACCACATTAATATGGTCTATCTGCAAGTTTACTCAGTCATAAAAAATATTTGTACCATAAATATGGACAATAAAAATCTTACATTTTGGTACAAATTGCTTGAAAAGTGGCAAGACAAAAGCTGCGTCTCTTCCATTCCGTGACAGATAGAAACACTCAAGCCTCTTCTTATCTATAGAAAAAAAAATGAACTACAAAGACAAACTGTAATATCGTATTTTAGTATGTTGATATACAAAACATTTTCTTAATTATGCTGTATTCTATGATAAAACAGGTCTAACAAGCATTATTACAACATATTATTAATTTTTGTTATGTTATCGGGAAATAGCAACAACTGTACTATATCCGGGTTGATTGTGTTACAGTACCTAAGGAAGTCCTGTAAGTTATAATAACCTCAAATATGGACTCACTTACTGAGTCCACTGCCAAATATTTGTTTTGAGGACCTGTATACTGATCAGAGACTGTAACTCCAGTTATGGGGTAAACAAAGAGATACAGTCCTGTAAATGCTTTTGAGTATGCAGCCCCTGTTCTGTACTGCATTCCATTCATAGATATGAACCATACCAATTTTTTTTCATCCATTTGTTTAATGAAGGATTATCATATTGTAGGCAGATGTCACACTGGCAGCAATTTTTCTGTGTAATATTCTCTAAATATATATACGTATATATATATATATATATACTGTATATATATATTTTTTTTACTTCTCTGTAGCATTTGTGATCTACAACTTCCTAAGTCTTTGCTACGAGTACCTGGGTGGAGAAGGGAACATCATGAGTGAAATCAGAGGAAAGCCTATTAGGTAAGTCTTGGTATAGTTATCTCATTACAGTATTGTTTGAAATAGGAAATTATTTGTTCCTTAGAGACAGTAGAATTTTTTGTTTTGTAACTTAATTCAAAGAGAATATCATGTGGTTTCTGTGAATACTTTGGTAAGTGCTTTTCTCTCACTGCACAGCATGGCTATATACTGTATGTGGCTCTTGGACCATCTAAAATACAATACATACAGTACAGCAATATCAAGAATCAATGTTTTTTCTTCAAACAATCTTAAACTTATGTAAAATTAACTTTCTCAGCTAGTCTAGCTCCATTATGATCATGACCTATAGCCATTGCTCTCTGTTTGTGTGTGTGTCCTCTTGTGGCATTTTCACATAAAACCCTGCATATTGAAACTTGACACTGAGGGTGATGTAATGGTTCCTGTAGAGTATATAGTACAATACTGTCCTCTGGAGATGAGGCCATATAGTAACAGTATCTGGCCAATCATTACACATTGCACCAAAAATTATGGCACCACCATTTGTCATTAGTTCCTATCCAGCTAAGCCACATAACTGATGGTGTCTGAGCTTCCTAGTTGCAGGTTTTACCAACAACAAGGGATTTCAGAATCATTCATACTTTTATTACCCTTTACCAGGTAGGTCCTTGTGCTGTACAGCATTTTAACACCTACTAGATGTACCTGTACTACTTGAAGCTCCTGGATGTCATACAAATCCATTAAGAGAGTTGACCCTCTCTTTTTAAACAGAGTACAGTACTATATAAAGGTTGAGATTGTATGTATACTACTCCCTAACTCATTTACCGTAATTCTCTTTACTTATCCTTGAACACCCTGACACATCCTATCAGTCACCAAAGCCTTCCAGCCACATAGTCCCAAAACTAACCTACATTCACATAGTCCCAGGGGAGTAATGTAGCTCCTGAAAATCCCAATAAGAAGCTTGTGAAAGAGATAATGAGGACAGAATCTTGTATTTCTACCCATTTTCTGAGACAAAACCTGAGGTGTAGGAGAGGCTTTGGATCAGGTTCAGGCAGGAAAAGAAATACTCTATGCTAGTCCCAACCTAAATTGTTATCTTGAAGTACTGTGTACAAGAAACATTTGATGATGCAGTTCCTTTTCTTTCCTAAGGCTCGCTGTTTGTTTTGTTGAATCATAACGTCTCAATTGTTGGAAGGTTTTGTTTTCTAAAGACAATTTTAAAGAAAATCATACATTAAAATATGTTGGCAAGGTCCATTTATACTTTTAGCTGATACTGTCAAGAACAGTTGTAGTTACTGCTAATGATCCCTAATGAGTCATGACAAGGTTAAGGCATTATTTTGTACTATGTAACCTGTCCAGAGATACCTACTGTGTGTAAATGTCCTTTTTTTAATGGTACTGCATATGAATAGGAACTGATTCATAGATTTGTCTCGAAGATGATTAAACCATAGCTTTTGGCACAATGTGTGTTGATTGGTCAGACACAGCTGCTCTAAGGCTTACTGTCTCCAGAGGACTACTGTTGCCTATGATCTTCCCAGTAATAGGTCTGTGGGTGCCATGGGGAGGTGAGGAAGGTTTGTATACCTGTTGGGTTTTTGTATCACTCCAGACTTAATGATTGGTTAATATTAGTCCATGGCATAGAATGCCTCCAATTGGCAGCCTCTTATTAAGAGGCTATATGCCTGACAATGGTTATCTGCCAGAAATTCCAAAAATATTGACAACAAAATGAATCTCAGGAGTAAATAATAAAAGAGAAAACATCTCAGAAAATTGATGTACAGTATACTGAGTTTTTATTCCTTTTCCTATATTGTGTTTAGATTCGTAGATTATAGATGGATTGCAAATATTATTTATTTATTTTTTTTCATCTCACTTGCAAGCCTCTTCCTACCTAACATGTGCTTATTGTTTATATACGTATATATTTTTTTCAAAATTTTTCATTATTTTCCAGATCATCATGTATGTATGGGACTTGCTGCCTTGTTGGCAAGACATACACGATTGGATTCCTGAGGTTCTGCAAGCAAGCCACCCTCCAGTTCTGCTTGGTCAAACCTGTGATGGCTTTCATTACCATCATCCTTCAGTTCTCCTTGAAATATCAGGATGGCGATTGGAGGTAAATAATATAACTAATTCTTACCTTATTACAAAATAGCTTCTTCACATGTTGCACTGACTTAGGCTGAAATTTTTTACCCCAATGAACACCAATTTTTTTTCCTCAATGGAAAGTTTGTTAGTATAATACTGTAAATTAGATGTTTTATTTTTTATTTTTTGCCATCTTTATTACCATGCACATAGCTGTAAGAGATTATCTTGTAAATCTTCACTGTTAGATAGACATTAAGTTTCTCTAATTAATTTTGTGACATCAGTCTACAGTCCAGTGGTTCCCAAACTTTTTCTGATCATTAACCACTTTTCATATATGATCCTTATCCATGGCCCCCCTCTCCCAATCCATATCCCTGGCTGGCTCAGCTGCTGACTGGCTGTTCTAGTGTGGTGGGGCTTGGGATTTTTATGTGTACATAGCCTCAGCTTATGGCCCCCTAAATTTTGCTGTATGCCCCCCCAGGGGGCCATGGCCCCCAGTTTGGGAACCACTGGTCTACACTGATGTGGACAAATGAATGTCATCTGTCATATCATTTATGTAACAGGTGGACATCACTTGTCCTGTTACACTGGCCTGTGGCACACCATACAGTAAAGTTTGTCGTTATAGAAATACTAAAGCATGTTGGGACCTTACCCTGTATACCACAGCAGGTCATTTTAATTTTTATCAATTTTTTGTGAGGTACTGTACACATAGATGTCTTCACAAGCTGTACCACCATATTCTAGAATTGTGACGGCACATAGAGTACAGTGCAGGACATCTATAAGCTGTGTCAGACAGTAGCAACCAGACATACAACATCTGTGAAAAATATTGATCCTGTTTATGTAATTAGATACATTTTTTATTTTATAATTAGAGCTCAGTTATTGCCTGCTAATTAGAATTAGGCATGAAAGTTTTCATTGGTACTTGCCTCAGTCCTCTATGCAGTAGATTACTAGAAGATCAGTGTGTATCCTGGGGTGGTTGCATTATTTTATACCACATTCTAGTGATAACAAAGTATGCATCACCACCCCCCACCCCCCCTCCCAAACTCACGCACACACACACACAAAAAAAAAGTTCCTCTGAGGGAAATCCAACAAAGGAGCAGAAACAATGAAGACTGGAGTGCATGGGACAAAACTCTCCCACCCAACCAATCACAAGCTTTCAAGATTTATTAGAACAAATGATTCAACACCATCTACAAAAGGGGCTGATCATATTATCATCACGGAACCAAAAAAAGCATTATTGAAGTGTATGCAAGATTACTCCAGTGCTGGATTGACCTGGGAACTTAATGGACCTAAAACCAAGAGAGAATCTTGGAGTTAGATGAAACACAAGCTATCAACTGGGAACACATCATTAGCACCTCTCTGGCAGGAGGAGATGAAGCAGATGTGGACAATGATGATGGGTCATGGCTATTTTCAAACACTTTAAATCTGTGTCAAATTGACTTCAACTGGTGTTCAAACCAGAAGGAAATGTGGTGAAATATTAATTAATATTATTCTAAAAAGTTTACGTAATAACAATAATAATAATTACTGTACCCTGTATATTTATTCCATAAAATTGGCATACAGGTTTACAATTGGATAAGCCTGTAGAAAACAGGTCAACATGAATATAGACAATATTGATACAGTATGTGGTATATGTAGACCATGGGAGTATAGTACAGTACAGTACTGTATACAGTTTTCTGTGCCAAGACACTGCAGGTGTACAACAATGGTGAACAGTAAGGCAATTTGACCAAGGATGGCTGACAAAGCTGTCACATGCTTATTTTATTGTTTTATTTTACCTTACCTTATGTGTTTGTTAATTTTTTAATTTTTTGTTTTTATTTTTTTTAAAGATCCCTGCTCATATTTCTTAAAGACTGTGCAACAAAATATAAGTTAAGCTGATGGTCATTTGATGATATGTGTCTGGGTGATCATCCTTTTTAAATACGTACGAGACTCAACTATGCTTGTGTATAACCTACCTAATCACAGAAAGTATTGCTATATATGTAGGTTTTGTTCGTACAAATTCGCTCCTTGTCAGTGTTATTGCCACCACAAATTTGGGAACCCATGATTTAAATACCTTGCAGTTAGCATGTGTTAATACTGTGCTTTTCTTAAAATTGGCAGTTCCTGAAATATGATTTGTAGTCAAAGTAGAATGGTCATTTTAGATGTTAGATTCTTTCTTTGTCTATTGGCCACAGAAAGTAATGTCTTAGTCTGCATCATGTGATTGGTTATTAAGGAAGGTGGTCAGTTGTAACTCACTCTTTGGGGAACTTCATCTTGCCTACTCTACCTTCTGGCCTTACAATAAGAGTGAGGGTTGTGATCGTTTCAACACATGACTAATCATTTGTGGTAGTGTAGGCAGGTAGATGGGGTTTCATGACCTGTGGGTGTATAAAAATTAAGTTACTTTTCATATGATTGATATTCCTTCATTTTAAGATTTGTTTATTTCATCTGGATATCTTCAAATGTGTAAAGCAGTTTTTTGTTTTGTTAATTAGCTCAGTCAACTTATTTCCTAAACTGAAGACCATGCAATGAATGGAATTTTTTCTTCCTTGATAGTCCTGAAGGTGGCTACCTGTACATCACCATCATCTACAACATCTCAGTGTCACTGGCCCTGTACAGCTTGTTCCTCTTCTACTTTGCCACAAGAGACCTACTGCAGCCATATGAACCTGTACTTAAATTCTTTACCATAAAATCAGTGATCTTTTTATCGTTCTGGCAAGGTAAATAGAAGAAGACTGTGTTGTGATATACTTGTTTTTGTATCAATGTATATGCATGTGTGAATGTATGAATTAGATTAATAAAGAAAGCTTTTCATAAGAGAGGATTACTTTTGCATTTCACTAAAGTTGTAAATTGAATTTCAGGAGTTCTCTTGGCTATTCTTGAAAAGGGAAAAGTAATTGAGGGTATTCCGACTCTCAATACTGGCACAGTTTCTGCGGGGTACCAGAACTTCATCATCTGTGTAGAAATGTTCTTTGCCTCAGTAGCTCTCCGCTATGCCTTCCCATACCAGATATATGGAGATTTTACCGTAACGGGACCTGGCCGCAGTGTTACCATGCAGAGTATTTCATCATCACTGAAGGTATAGTACCGGTGATCAGTATGTGTGCATTTCTTTTCTCTTTTTTTCAAACTTTTTTGATGTGAATGACAGCCAGAATATTTAAGGAGCACTGAATGTGCTATCTTGATTGAACATAGGTTGAAGTCACCTGACATACAGTACTGTATATGTTGAATATTTGCTCTTTATAAGATGTTGTTCATTATATATAAATTTTAAATGACAAGTAAACAGTTGTTTCTGTTTTTTCTCACAGGAAACCATGAACCCCAAAGACATCATGACAGATGCAATTCACAATTTCCACCCACAGTACCAGCAGTACACCCAATACAGTGCAGGTATGGTAATGATCACTTGCTTGAAGGTAATTCCCTTCTTAGCTGTGCTATTCATGGAAGAGCATTTCATTAGGAATTCAGTGGAAAGCCAGTTTTTCTGCCCAGTCTTGCAGGGTGGCCATTGCTTTAAATAAATATATTAAGCTTTAAGTTTGAAATGATTATGCATTTAATTAAAAAGTAAGCCTTTGAGAGTGAACACTATAGCTAATAGGATGTACTAATACTGTACTGATGTACTTTCATTTACTTAAGTTACAGGTTTGTTCATGTTTCTTTGAACTTAAAATTTAATAAAACACTTATAACTATCAACAAGAATCTTTCGCACAATGGAACACGAGATTCTTAAGAAAAAAAAAATTGAAATACAAATTGTTGCCAGAAACATTAGATTTGAATATTCCCAAGAAGGCCACAGACAAAAGCATCAGGCAGAGTTGTGAAACATAGAATCATTTTGCACATTTTGAAGAACAAATTGAACCAACCAAAAAATAGTAAATTGTGTTCATACAATAAACACTAAATATCTGACAGCAAACTAAAAATTCTTAGAGTTTTTGTGTAATGTTAGATTTAAGTAAACAGTAAAAATGAAAATGGAATTTAGATTACACTGAATGCCTAATATTTTACCTTCTAAGAATTGATCATATTTTCAGTTTAATATCATAAATTGGTTGATGATCTTACAGTACAGTGATGTTCAGATTAGAAATAAGCTTATACTGTACATGTGTTTTTCACTTCAGTTTTATAGTACGGTACTGTAAAAGGTTTGCATTTCCAAGAGTATTTATTATGAGTCAACTAAATAATACAGCTTCATCTCTTATCCCTGGTTTACTAGACACCTTAAGTAGGTCACTTTGTCAGTCATACAGTATTACATACCAGAGGAATAATGTCAAGTATACCTTACATGTTCCATCACACTTTCATAAAGAGAAGATCATTTTTTGTTTTTAAATATTGTGTTTATTACTCTAATTTAGCCTAGGATATAGTATAATTTTAAATGTTAAACTACAAAAAACAGTATGATAAGGAAAGGATGAAATGTTGGGAGAGATGAAATATACTGTATTTATCTTTGCATGTAGGACATTTGCTCTATTTCAGCACCATCCAGTTTTGCAAAGAAAGTGTTCCTAATAAGATACTGGCTGTTATGTCTTTTCATGCACTTGTATTGTCCAGTTCTCTTAAACAAAGTGTTGCTATACATTTCGGTCAATATTTACAGACTGGTAATGAAGATGTTAAACCAACTTAAGTTATGAGAGGGCTGGAGAAACTCTGCCTTGTGTTCACATTAACTTATTTTTAGTAAAAAAAAAATTTCAGTCAGGTTCAACGGTATTGAATGTTAAATAAAATTTGAAGGTCTTAAACAAAATTCAGATGCTGATCAAAAATATGTATTTGTTGTGTTAATTTCAATCTCCATAAAATCAAGCTTTCCTTAAAAAATAAAAATGGATAAACTGATTGAAAATTTAGTGTTGCATAGCTGTTGCTTGACACCAAACTTTAAATGTTCTTGCTGTGTTTTTTATTTTGCATGAATAGGTATTACTTTTTAAGGGTTTTAGTCAAACCATCACTCTCCATTACTTGCAGTGTAACAAATTGCAATTGAAATCATATTTTATATTTCAAATATATCTTTAAACCAGCATCCTCAACAAACATACATACATAGAAGATATATTAAATTGTTAAGTTTTATATTAATAAAGGAATATTTTATGAGTCATTGCATAAGGTAATTAACACCATACAGAAGGTGGCATAGCTTCATTATTTTACCAGTCACCTGTAGTGAAATTTATAAAGTATTAGTAGATGTAATCTATTAATTAGAGGAGACCAGATGCATGTTAAGTTAGTATCTTGTTTGGTCAGGTCACTTGTCCTAATTTAAGAGTTTTGGAGAAATTTATAGGTTGTTGTTTTATTGACCAGGTTTTTATGGGTTCAGGTTAGACACAACTTTTGTACTATAAAGAACTTATATGCAGGGTTAATTCTGAGATTGATTGAGGATGCAGTGATTGTATTTAAAACTAGAAAATTATACTGCATAGAAATAACCCAAAACCTAGTGAATGAAATGCAAAAAATAACGTATAGGATAATATGGTTGTCTGATATTATTTTGGGGGATCAAATTATATATGGTATAGTGAAAAGAGTACAGTACAGTATTAGTAAAGTGTCCTGAAATTTGTGGTTGCAAGAACCAGATTTTTTGTATGAAACTGTTTATTGAAAATATGTGCAAGAAAGATTTGAATTGGCTCAATGTATAGGTTTTGTCACACAAGAGAGTGAGTGATTTGTTTGCATAGAAAAAGGTTTGGGATTATTATTAAACTTATTTTACCATATGGTTGAGCTGTCAGACTTGCACATTGGCCAAAATCACATCCTGCCATTCCACATGACCAAGTTTTCATGTGTGTCTGTCAGCAATGGTGCATGTTAAATGGGATCCTTAGAGCATGTTAAATGGGATCCTTGGAGCATGCAAATGGACAATATTTGTATCCTGTCTCACAATAAAAGTTAGATACAAGTTAATCTAATAGTAAAGGCATGCTCTTTGGTTAATAGACTACTATACTCTTAATTTAGTAATGCAGGGTGTCCATAAATGATTACCCTGATTAAAACATGAGACCATACTGTTTTCAGGGTAATCATTTATGGACACCCTGTATTTACTGGCCAGTGTTTCACTGACTCAGAACTATGGGTTGCACTACACATCTAATAGATCCAACTTCACGTAATGACTTATACTTTCTCTAAACTATTGGTTACAAAAGAGAAAGGTGAGAGCAATGTTATTTACTGATAGAACAGTAATAACAAGATTATTGAAGAATTGGGAGAGTTAAAAAAAAAGAGGAAAACCGATTGTGATTGTAAATAAAATTAAAGGTTTTAACTTGAGAGGTGCTTTTGCAGTGGGTCCAGGATGCTGTTTAGGAAGTAGACTTATTTAGGACTGTGAAAAGGAAACTTTTAGGCCTGAGAGTGGAATCTGGAGATTGAGAAAGGAGAATTATAAAGAAATAGAATGCTAGTACAGCTACTGTACTGCAATGGGTCTAGATAAGTCTCAATGGAAGGACTTATTGAGATTACTGTATAGGTAAATATTAATTGATACTGTACCACAAGAATAGTATTTTTTATATTGATGTAAATGTTTTGTTACATATTGTGATAGGGAAATTATTACTGTACTAAAAAAGAGTATAGAAAGGCTCTGGGAATGAACCCTTTTATTGGAAATGCAAAGAGAAGACCAAGTGGTTTTATGTATTTTGACTGACCTTTGCTCTGTTTACTGTGTAGCAGCTTGGGCATCCCTCCATTATGTTTTATGACATTTTATTGACAGTATGGAATAAGAATAGTTGGAGACCACTGATTAACCATACTGTTTGAAGTTCTTTATGAAAGGAGTTGCAGTTTGAAATTTTTTAAATAAATTTGTCCAGTACAGTACTGTACATATACAGTAGTTTGTTTATTGTAGTACAGATGGAAAGTTAAAGGGAAGGATAATGGGAGTTTGGGTTAAAATCACATATATTACAGCTGTAAAATGAAATTGGAATTTTGGAGATGCAGCAATAGGTCAAGCTAGATTTATATCATCCAAATGTTACCCGAAAACAAATTTGAATTTTTTTAAATGTACAGTACAGTATATGAAACCTATATAATTGTGAAAGAATGGTGTTAGGAATTACTGAGATAATTAAAATGCTGGGAAGCTAGTAAATGGATGTAGGTTTTTCAATGTAAAGCATAAGTAAAAGGACCTCGGTAGATTATTTTGTCATTTAAGATTGTTCTTTGTTTTGATTAATGGTCTTTTGAGAATTTATGACATACTAAAGGTGGAGAAGCTAGAGTAGCAGCAAGTCATAAGTAACATATATAGACATTACAGTTTCAGTGGAGAGCTGCCTCTACAATTTTAGACAGAGATAATGAAGGTGTACAAGAACAGAAAATTAAATATAAAATTAAATAATATGGGAAGCAGGTGATGTAATATTTAAGTAATCTATTTATGGGTACAGTATTGACAAGGGAGATATTGTAGACAGTGCTGAAAGAAAGACAGATGCTTGTACAGTCATGGAGGAAATCACACAAACAACATTTAAAGGAATAATCAAAAGAAAATTAATACTTGTAAAATGAATAATGTGAGATGGGTTGAAAAAAAATGGGGGGCAGTGTAAGAGTGCAGCTGAGTACAGTATGTGGGCACTGTAGACTAGGAAGTAAAAATGAAGATATTGAGTGTGGGATAAAAGCCTGGCTTGATTAGTCAGAGAAAGAGAGAAGACCATATAAGCATCATTTTGAAGAGAATATTATGAAAATAAGGAAGAACACCTCTACAGTACTAAGAGAGGTGAAAATAATATTGATATGGAAGGAAGCAGATTTCATTGATAAGGGTATAGGAAGTAACAGTGGTGGGTTAGATGCTCTTTGACCAAGACTCTGCTCGAATGAATGATTCAGTAGAAAAGTTGTAAATGTTAGTGAAGGAGTTTGGAAGAGTGTGTAGTAGTAGGAGATGTTTAAGAATGAGTAGAAAGTGATTAAGTTATATAAAGAAGGCTGATGGCAAGAAGTGAATGTTAGTTTGAATGGAGACAAATTTGGGAAGAAGGTAGTAGATGTAGGTATTGAGAAGTGTATGGAGAGAAAAAACTGCATCATAGGAGGCCAAAATGGGAATGCACAATATAGAAGAGATATTGAGCCAATGTATTGTACAGGTGTGAAACATGGACCCTATGTGCAACAAGAAAAGTTAGAAAGGATGGTAATATTATGTTTGAAAGATATATGTGGAATAAACAGGATGCAAAGAATAAGAAGCTGAGAAAGAAGATGTAGAAGTGATAGTATTATTGGGCAAAATGATGATCAGGGATTCTAAAGTGATATGGACT